TAAGCCTTCCTGCTCAAAGCATCTACAATGACATTGGCCTTGCCTGTAGTATATTCAATACTCGGACTGTATTCTTGAATCATTTTGACTCAACGAGTTCGCCTGAGGTTGAGGTTGGGTTGAGTGAAGATGTACTTGAGGATCTTGTGATCAATGAAGATGTCCACTTTCCTTCCCAACAAGAGATGTCTCCACGTTAATAGAGGATGGATAACTGCCACCAACTCGAGGTCATGAGTGAGGTAGTTCTTTTTGTTGGGCTTCAACTAGCGAGAGGTATAAGCCACGACTTTCTTCTCTTGCATTAACACAGCACCGAGACCTTGGAGGGAGGCATCACAGAAACCTTCAAAAGGCTTGGATTCACCAGGAGGAGTCAAGACATGAGCTGTGACTAACTTCTCTTTGAGGGCATTGAAAGCAACGTCACACTCAGGAGTCCAGATATACTTGACGTGCTTCTGGAAGAGGTTGGAAAGAGGCTTTGCAATCTTAGAGAAATTCTCAACGAATCTTCGACAATAGCTTGCAAGCCCAAGAAAACAGCGGATCTGCTTGACATTCTGAGGCGGTTCCCAATTCACAATTGCAGACACCTTATCAGGATTAACTGCGATGCCCTTGGCGGAGATGATACGACCAAGGTAGAGAACCTCATCAAGCCAAAACTCACACTTGGAAAACTTCGCATAGAATTTATGCTCTTTGAGTTTGTCGAGTACCAACCTCAAATGCTTGGCATGATCCTCCTTATTCTTGGAAAACACCAAAATATCATCAAGATACACCAAGGCGAAATCATCTGTGTAAGGGCTGAAGATGAATTTCATCATGCGAGAGAACGTTGGAGGGGCATTGACAAGGCCGAAAGACATGACAGTATATTCATAAGAACCATAGCTTGTCCTGAATGTTGTCTTGGGAATATCCTGTTCACGAATGTGAATCTGATGATAACCCATACGGAGGTCAAGCTTGGAGAATACTTGGGCACCTTTAAGTTGCTCGAAAAGCTCATTGATGTTGGGAAGTGAGTACTTGTTCTTTATTGTTTTCTTGTTCAATGGACGGTAGTCGATGCAGAGTCGTTCCGTTCCATCCTTCTTGTTGACAAAAAGAACACCATAACCCCATGGAGAAGAACTCAGTCTGATCAGACCCATACACTCTTGTTCATCGAGTTGTTTCTTCAACTCCTTCAGCTCTTCTGGTCCAAGCTTGTAAGGATGTTTGCAAACAGGTTCCATGCCAGGCTCAAGATCGATAATGAATTCAACTGGCAGGTGAGGAGGCATTCCTGGAAGCTCTTCTGGAAAGACGTCTTGATATTCACAAATGACTGGAATCTGAGAGATGGCATTCAACTCGCCCTTCTCATTGAGAGAAAACAGTCGAACGGTATCATCCCGAGCAGCATAGATGATCACATCCTCAGATGAATGTGTCAATTGAATCTTCCTACCAGCACAATCAAGCTGAGCCTTGTGCTTAGAAAGCCAGTCCATGCCAAGAATTAGATCAATATCTGAATCACCAAGAACAATAGGAGAAGATAGAAATTTATAGTCGCCCATCTTGATAACGGAATTCCGAATGAATACTCGAGAAGTCATTTGTTTAGCCGGAGAAACAATAGACAAAGGTCTCGGAAATACTTGACTAACCAAATCATGCATAGCCACAAAAAGGTGTTGAAATGAAAGAATGCGATGCACCAATATCAAATAAGACTTTTGCAGGAATATCATTAACAGGAAGGTTACCCATGATCACTTCTGAAGAGTCCTATGCCTGAGCTGCGTTCATCATGTTGACCTTAGCATGCTTGGTATTATGCTTGACCACTGCATTGCTGGCAGATCTCACAGGAGGAGGAGGCGGAAGGCGCCGTTGTTTGAAGCACTTCTCTGCATAGTGCCCTTTCTGCTGACACTTGTTGCAAGTAACCTCTGAGAGCGGATGATGATCAGGAGCACTTGACCTTGGAGTATGAGACTGAGCTTTGTTCTGATAGCCTGGGTTGGGTGGGTGGGAAGATCCACTGCCACCTTTGCTCTTCTGCTGGTAGGGCTAACAAAACAGACAAGGAGGTGGCAAACAGAACTTCTGTTGCTTAGCTGCCACTTGTGATGAAGAAGAAGATTGAACTGTGTCCCTGACTCTCTTCTTAGATGCCTCGCACTTGAGCTGAGCAGCTTCCTGCTTTAGTGCCATGTTGTAGAATTCATCATACTTAGTCGACTCAAGAAGCACGAGAGCTAATTGCAGATCTTCTCTGAGGCCACCTCTGAATTGATAAATCATGCTCTTTTCATCAGGGACGTCTTGTTTAGCGAAGCGAGCGAGTTTCTGAAACTAGATATTGTATTGATACACGGACATGCTGCCTTGCTTGAGATTGCGGAACTCCTCACGCTTACTCTCAGCAACACTTTGTGGAATGTGATGAGCTTTGAAGTCTCCACGGAAATCATCCCAGGTAATCACACGACCTCCTCTGGAATCTCTGTATTGTTGATACCACTCAGCAGCTTGGTCTTTGAGTTGAAACAAAGCAAACTTGACAAAGACCTTAGGCCTGACATTGCTACACTCAAAATGTTTGCAGATATCCACGAGCCAGTCGTCGGCGTCTGTGGCCTCGACACAGTTGTTGAAGGACTTAGGCTGGTTTGCGAGGAACTAGTTGAGGATAGCAAACTGAGGCTGATTGTTGCCTTGGTCTTGATTTCCTTGGTTGCCTTGCCCTTGGTTGCTGATAAGCGCATTTCATATACATTATTTGATGCTCAAATATACCATTAATTGAGATATATCCATCAGTTCTTGCTACGAATTGTTGAATATTTGAATGATAATCATAAAAGAGAATGTTGACTAGTGAATTGTTTATTTTACAGAAAAGTGTGCAAAGGCACTATAAACTTCAAGATTCGATCGATTGCCAAATGCAATGAGACTTGGGGCTGGAACGAGAGAACGAGGGACCTGAGCGAGAAGAAAAGAAGTATCCAGGGTCAAGGTAATGTTGGAGGATCATCTTGAGAAGAAAGAAAGGAAGCAGGAGGGCCAAAGTGAAAAAAATGGCAGATCATAGGAGGAGGTCAAAATCCCTAGACGCCCTGATTCCCAAAATCGGGCCTGGCATATCTCCATCTCTCTCCCCCAATCCCCTTATTCTCCACCCTCCGGCCGCCATCGCGGCCAGGCCGTCGTGGCGGCGTGCCAACCATCCATCCACCACTCCATCACCCACTCCATCTCCACCACCTGCCGCTGCCAGCGTCGCATCACCACCTCGAACCATCGCGCCATCCATCAACATCTCCATCTTCCTCCGCCTCCTTCTCCACCTCCGGCCACCACCACGACCAGGCCGGCGTGGTGGTGCACCTCCCATCCATCAGCGCCGCAAGTCACCACCATCTCCGTTCGTCTCCACCAGCGCCATCCTCCCAGCCAGCCAGCAGCATCGTCCATCATTCTCTGCCGCCGCCGCGCTACTCCATCAACCTCTGCTGCTCCCTCTCCTTGACGCCCAGCTGCCGCTCCTTCTTCCCAAACCTTGCCGCTGATCATTCTTCTCTTCTCCATCTACTGCAGCTTCCTCTGCTTCCCTTGCTCTGCTTCTTCCTTTTCCTCACTGCAGCTCCACCTTCTCCCAATTCCTCTCACATCTTTGCTGCTGCTTCCTCAAATCCTGCTGCTGCTCCTTTCTCCTTAATTCCCTCCATCTCTGAACCAAAACTATTGTTCTTCTCTAAAGTCTGAACCGTCTAGTGCTATTGTTGCTGTTTCACAAACCCGAGCTTCTCTCCCTCTATCACTCTTTTGTAATTTCTGAAAATTGTAATGTACACTTTGAGTATTGTTCGGTATACATGATTTGTTCCTCCTCTATGTTTTAGTTACTACAGTGTATGTGAAATTGTGAGTGGTTGAGCTGCTCATTGTCGAGTCAGACTTGTACTGTCATATATATGTTTTGAGTCATACGTATCTTTGTGATTGTGGTTAATTCTAGTAACCGTGGTGTTGCATATTCGTGATTGTGGTTAATTCTCTAAATTTCTGTAAACATTGAGCAGTGTATGTGTTGTAATGTTCAGATCAAACTAGTTCTTGGAATTGCTATTTGTTCACTATTGTACTTGTAAGGTATAGTTCATGTTATGTGTGATCAGTGCTAGCTTTGTCCCTGTGACATCTATGTTTGTGATATGAATCATCTATCTCCTGTCATATAACTCTGTTCTTTCCATGTATCTTATAATTGCTAGTTTTGTATACATAAATGTGATCTTGTCTTGTTAATCCCATTTGTTTAGGATGTTTGCCTGCAGTTTCTATTTTCTCAAATAAAAAATTAATACCAAAAAGACCGAGTAAAATCTGAATCTCCCTGTGCTCTTTGCATTTTCTTTGTCGTCGACTTTGGTTAGTTTAGGTCTATATTTCCTCGCAATCATCATCTGAATTATGTCACCTAGCCTTAGCCGAGCATCGTTGCTGTCGCCTAGTCCCTGTGGAGAACACGACACTCGTAGTTTGGGCGTAAAACCCCACTGTACTCACAATAGATCAATTTGGCGACGTTGCCGGGGACTAGCGTCAAGCGATTATGTTGGCTATAGACTAGGCTTATTATAGTTCCGTGTTTAATTCGTCGTGTATTTCATTATCTGTGTTTCTTTTATATTTTTTCCTTGATATTGCTTCGGCTTATTAGGATACTAACCTTCTGACTAGTGTTTTACTGTTTATGAGTGTGCGTAGGAAATCTGAACTAACTGCAAGTTGTTCTATAGTTACACTTGGTTAAGATGGCATTGCTTCGTGATCTTTGGATGCCCAAAAGTCAATCTTATATCACAGGACTGGTTTGGCCAACTATTGAAGTAGAGAACTACGAGCTGAAACCTAGTCTTTTTGCTTTGGTTCAATAATGTCAGTTTGGAGGACGGCCTACTGAGGATCCCTATGAGCACTTACACCGAGTCATGGAGTATTCAGATACAGTCAAGTACCACAGAGTTCCTCAAGACACAATCATGTGCAGGTTGTTCACATTCTCTCTCTGTGATGATGCTCGTGCTTGGTACCAATCCTTGCCATCAAGGTCATACAATTGGATTGAGATATCACAAGCATTCTTGGATAAATATTTCCCACTACACAAGAAGTCCGCGATTCGAGATGATATCTTCAACTTTGTTCAGTGTGAAGGTGAGAGTTTGTATGATGCTTGGGAGAGGTACAAAGCCTTGTTCAGGAGATGTCCTAATCATGGGCTCGAGAGATGGTTAGAGCTGCAGATATTCTATAGAGGATTGACTTTGGACACTCGTGCTTACATTGACATGGCAGCGGGTGGAGCTATTACAAATAAGACACTTGATGATGCTTTTCTGTTGATTGAGAGCATAGCTTTCCACCAACTTCAGTGGTACAATAAGAAGCCCATGTCTGATTCATTAGTTTGCTTGCAACAAATCACTATTCCTCAGCCATCAATTCTTACACAGAAGCCTGAACCTCTATCTCAGTGTGACAAGATTGAGTTTACATGGATTATCTTTGATGATGATGACGCCATTCTAGTTGACACACACGCTACAGATCATATGGATACTAGTGTTGGAGATTCGGTTTTGCATTGTGATGATTCTTCCATGGATGAGCCTGAGTTGCAGTTAGTTGCTTTTGATATTGAGGAGTCACCTTCGGTTAATATAGATCATGTGCTGCCTGAACCAGACATGGAGAAGTTCACCTTTGATGATGTTAGCCACATCGATTCTTCAACGCTTGAGCCTGAGATGGAAATCTTCATTGTTGATTATGATGAGGTCACTTCAGATGTCAAGGAGCAAAGCTCTACTATTTCACCTGTCGATACGAGCCAGGTGGAAGTTTCTACTACCATGCCTTCCATGGTATCTTCAGTTGAGGTAGTCATAAAACTTCTCCAAGGCCATCTCAGGTATTATCTCAGCTTTCTGGATAAGTTATGTCATATCGCTGATATTGCCTATGCACCATGTGACTTGTTGTTGATACATGTTCCTGATTTGCTCAATAGATATACTTATATGATAGGGTACTCAATCGATGACTTAAAGGGCATTCTCTCTATCACTTGTATTGGCTTGGTTGTTGAGTGTTCTTTCAGGTTGATGCTTGTGCACCATTTACTGCGAGTTGACCGAGTTCGAGATGACATTCCCTGGGATCCTGGTGGATTCACGACATGGTGATGAGGAGAAGCAATGGGCATACGCGAAGAAGAGTGAAGCTGGAGCAGGCATGGGGATAGACAAGCAAAAAGAGAAGAGCTAAAGTTTAGAGAGTGTTGAGCGAGTGCAACTTCCTATATAAACCCCGTGAGCTATTTCATGTCCCCAATCTGAATATATCATCCATTGATACATGCTGAAATCAATTTCTATTTGGGTTGCTTGAGCCATTTCTTAAACGTTGTCCCATTGAATTTTACCTTTGACATATGGTGCTTGATGTGAATATGTACACTGATTTGTGGATGCCTTGTAAACTTGTGATCTACATACTGCTTGCTTTGCTGAAATTAGTGAAAGTTATTAGTTTTGAGTGCTCAAATCCCTAGTACCCTAGAAAACTTCATCATTTTCTGCATTTACTTTGATACACCTAGATCATCATATGTTAGATGCTGATTTTGTGCCAAGTGTGTTCCCCTTCAGAGAAATCATTCACCACTATGGACTAGCATACTATGTTCCTTGGATCAGTAGTATGTGAACCAGACCTGGATGAGTGATGATTCTTGTTTCCTTTTTGTATTCATTTGTGAAAAAGTAATAATGAATAAATAAGTCTGACTACCTAGAGTAGCATGTCATGTTCCCTGGATCGGTGGCATGTGAAATTGGGTTAGCTTGGGCAGTAATTACTAATAAAAATGTAATTGTCGAACCAGGTGTATACCATGTTCTTGGGATCGGTGGTATGTTCCTTTGAGGAGACAAACAAAAAAACTAATAATTGGTTGAGCCAGGTGTATACCATGTTCTCGGGATCGGTGGTATGTTCCTTTGGTGAGACCGATAAAATATTATCATTACTTCCTTCAAATTCAATAAGTGCTTCAACCATAATGTTATGTTCCTAGTATTAAGTTTCTTTTTTTGGGACCATGCTCTCTTTAGGAACCCTTTGGTGTAATCAGCATTTGAACTTGTTGATCCAATTGTATCTTTGTAGAAGTTTAAAATGATTGAGTTTACTAGTGTCCTATTGCTCTGTAGCACTCTTAACCATTGATTTTCACTAGCTAAGTCCAAAGCATGCATTGTTTAGAGATATACTTCACTTGACATTCTCTATCAGTTCACTGTTCATATTCTTGCTCTTGTCATATGCCTTTGCTTGAGGATAAGCAAATATTTAAGTGTGGGGGAACTTGATAAGCGCATTTCATATACATTATTTTATGCTCAAATATACCATTAATTGAGATATACCCATCCATTCTTGCTACGAATTGTTGAATATTCAAATGATAATCATAAAAGAGAATGTTGACTAGTGAATTGTTTATTTTGCAAAAAAGTGCGCAAAGGCACTATAAACTTCAAGATTCGATCGATTGCCAAATGCAATGAGACTTGGGGGTGGAACGAGAGAACAAGGGACTTGAGCGAGAAGAAAAGAAGTGTCCATGGTAAAGTTAATGTTGGAGGATCATCTTGAGAAGAAAGAAAGGAAGCAGGAGGGCCAAGGTGAAAAAATGGCAGATCATAGGAGGAGGTCAAAATCCCTAGACGCCCTGATTCCCAAAATCGGGCCTAGCATATCTCCATCTCTCTCCCTCGATCCACTTCTTCTCCACCCTCCGGCCGCCGCCGCGGCTAGGCCGTCGTGGTGGCGTGCCATCCATCCAGCCACCACTCCATCATCCACTCCATCTCCACCACCCGCCGCTGCCAGCGTCCCAGCACCACCTCGAACCACCGCGCCATCCATCAACATCTCCATCTTCCTCCGGCCACCGCTTCGGCCAGGCCGGCGTGGTGGTGCACCTCCCATCCATCAGCGCCGCAAGTCACCACCATCTCCGTCCATCTCCACCAGCGCCATCCTCCCAGCCAGCCAGCAGCACTGTCCATCATTCTCTGCCGCCGCCGCGCTACTCCATCAACCTCTGCTGCTCCCTCTCCTTGACGCCCAGCTGCCGCTCCTCCTTCCCAAACCTTGCCGCTGATCCTTCTACTCTTCTCCATCTCCTATTGCTTCCCTTGCTCTGCTTCTTCCTTTGCCTCGTTCTAGCTCCACATTCTACCAATTCCTCTCACATCTTTGCTGCTGCTCCTTCCTCCTTAATTCCCTCCTTCTCTGAACCAAAACTATTGTTCTTCTCTAAAGTATGAACCGTCTACTGCTATTGTTCCTGTTTCACAAACCTGAGCTTCTCTCCTTCTCTCACTCTTTGTAATTTCTGAAAACTGTAATGTAAACTTTGCGTATTGTTCGGTATAGATGATTCGTGCCTCCTCTATGTTTTAGTTACTACAGTGTATGTGAAATTGTGAGTGGTTGAGCTGCTCATTGTCGAGTCAGACTTGTACTGTCATATATATGTTTTGAGTCATACGTATCTTTGTGATTGTGGTTAATTCTAGTAACCGTGGTGTTGCATATTCGTGATTGTGGTTAATTCTCTAAATTTCTGTAAACATTGAGCAGTGTATGTGTTGTAATGTTCAGATCAGACTAGTTCTTGGAATTGCTATTTGTTCAGTATTGTACTTGTAAGATATAGTGCATGTTATGTGTGATCAGTGCTAGCTTTGTCCCTGTGACATATATGTTTGTGATATGAATCATCTATCTCCTGTCATATAACTCTGTGTCCTTCCGTGTATCTTATACTTGCTAGTTTTGTATACATAAATGTGATATTTGTCGGATTTCGGGTTCCGGCAGACCCTTGAGGTTCGAACACTGGGGTGCACACGGAGATTTCGCCTCCTACCTACCTGCACCCCTCCGCCATGCTAGGATCCAAAACTAAGGAAAGAACAACACAAGAGACACAGGGTTTATACTGGTTTGGGCCACCGTTGTGGTGTAATACCCTACTCCAGTGTCTGGTGTGGTGGATTGCCTCTTGGGCTGATGATGATGAACAATACAAGGAAGAACAGCCTCGCGAGGGTCTGTTCTTGGCTGGGGGGATGAACTACTGAGAAGAGTTCAGTCACCATTTCCTCTCTATCTCTTCCTCTCTCTCTCTCTCACTTCCAACCTCTTTTTGCTATGTGGGTGGCTGGTCCTATTTATAGAGGCCCTGGTCCTCTTCCCAAATATCGAGCGGGAAGGGAGCCAACAATGGTGGGCTAATTTGAAGGGGGACAGCAAGTATCAGCTATCCTGACAAAAGTAGTCTTCGCCTGCGCAAAGCTCTGGTGATGACGCCGTCTTGGGCTCCACGGTGACCTCCGTCTCGTATTCCTCCTGGTCTTGGTCTCGTTGCACCGAAATGGCAACCTTTGCCTGATGCCTCGGTACTCCACGGCTGCGCTTGCCCCCTTTGCACCAAAGAGGAAGGGAGGACGCTGCGTGGGCTGGCACCCTCCTGGCGCCCTGAGTCGTCATGTCTTGCGTCACGGGCACCTCGTGAGGTACCCCGCCTTGATCTCTCCGCCTCCTCGTGAGCCAGCCTGACGAGGCCGTGCCTGAGGAAGCTCCGCGCCGTCCGCCCCGCGAGTCTTGGCCCCTCACGAGGGTCTTGGGTTTGTGTTGGTGAAGACGGGCCATGCTGGGCCCCCCTTGAGCCACGCCGCAGGCCGCAGGCAGGCAAGTCTGGGGACCCCCGTTGCCAGAACGCCGACAGTAGCCCCCAGGCCCAAGGCGCGCCCGGACTTGGCCGTGCAGGGAGGCGGAAGGCCAAGAACGAAGCGCCATGGGCCCTAACAGCCTGCGGCCTTGGGCGCCGCATGGCAGTTGACTGGACGTGGGTGCCTTAGCAACCGCGCGAGTTGATAAAGGAGTGGCATCCGCCTAGGCCCTGCTTCTTGCTTTCCTCGATTGCGGCTCAGATCCCCTTTCTTGCGCCTCTCCTTCCTTCCTCCGAAATTTCCAGACGTGCTCTAACCGTGCGACCTAGGGAGCCATGGCGCCTCGCCAGCCCCCGGCCGCAGCTTGGTACTCGTCTGCCCTGGACTCACCGAATGTGTTGGAGACGAGCCTTGCCCGGTTGCGCCGGATGGCGATGGCGTGGGGCATCAACGGGGCGAAGGTGTTCAAGGCCGGCTCCGCCACCCTTGAGGGTCAAAGGAGCACCTTCCATCCGCTCTTCGTAAGTTCCATTGTTGCTGGCCTGGTGCCTCCCTTCTCTGAGTTCTTCTTCTCTGTCCTCCGCCATTACAAGCTACAGGCTCTGCATCTCCATCCCAACTCCGTCCTTCTCCTGGCAATCTTTGCTTATTATTGCGAGACCCACGTTGGGGTGCAGCCCTCAGTGGCCTTACTGCGCCACTACTTCTACCTCCAGACCTCTTGTGGTACTGCATCCGCGTGCGCGAGCTTCGTCACGTACGGTGGCGCCATTGCCATCTCGAACCCTGGGAAGAGGATTGAGCGCTTTAGGAGCAAGTGGATCTTGGTGGATGCTGGGCGCATCCACCCTCGGCTGATCCTGCCCACGGAGCAGCCCACGAGCTCCAGCGACTGGGGTCGAGCGGAGATCGCGGATCCCCGCGCAAAGATGGTGTTGGAGAAGATGGACGCGGATCTGAGGCCGACCGACATGGCAGCGGCGAAGCTAACCAGCGCGTCGCTGCTGAGGGAGTTCCTGGAGCACCAGCTGGCTCCGCTTCGGCAGTACTCACTTCCAATGTGGAGGCCCCGTCTGAGCCCTGCGGCCTTGGCCGACGGAGACCTAGCTGCGGTTCTCCAGTCTCTGGTCGGGGGCAACGTGGCGAGGCTGGAGGGCGCTCCTACGCCCTTGTTCCTCCGCAACGACTAGGAGCGGGTGGTGAAGTCCATGCCCGTCTTCAACAGGGATGGGCCCGTGCCCATGGAAACTCACGAGGAGCCGGTGGACATGCCCTCCGGCGACTCCAGTGAAGAGGAGGAAGGAGGGGAGCGGGGAAAAGGGCCTGACTCCGAGGCGACTAACGGAGAGTCGAGGGCTCCCCTCCCTCGGCGCAGGTCCCGTGTTCTCCGCCTCTCTCCGAGCGATGACAATGAGGATGACGACGAAGACGACGACGAG